TAGGTCGGTATTCGAGAAGTATGTTCTCTGAACCGGTGGCCAGAGGTCCGTTGGGACCTTCTTAAATGCGGAGATATCCCCGCGGTTGCTCAGTCACTGGGTGGAAATCGGGTCTCGCCCGCCATAACATTTTCACAAACAGCCGTTCCTCATGGGGACCTTGTGCCGACTCTACCTACCTACCTACCTACCTCGCCTTTTCCGGCATCTTTATTCCCGGACAAGATCCCGCTTCGTGGCCTCCATTCTTCAAGCATCCTTGGAATGCGACATCTTTAACAGACTTCTGGGCCAAGACGCGGTGGAATTTCGCGATACGTTCTCTCGCGCTGGGGCTCCGGATGGGGCGTCCGCTTTTTGGACACGTCGGATGCCTCTTAGGCTGCTTCCCAATGCCAGGCCTATTCCACGACTGGATAACCTGAGGCCTCTTGGAGAGGAAACACTGGGTTTTGCTGTAGCATGATACTGTACTTCATCCTGAACGGAGTTGGTGTTTTATTGGAGATATTCTGGAGAAGTGTTTCTAGGAGGAAGATTGGACGCTGGATTTGGACGATTGACCTGGTGGGTCGGTTGGCTGATGATGACATTCTTTTCGGCCTGTATGAATGTCTGGTAGCGCCGACTTGAAGAAGCGAATATGGCGATACGGCCAACCTATCTTCTATACTACCGGCTTACGGCTGGTTGCCCAAGCTAGTACGGAGCGAAGTTGGAACCATTGGGGGGACAAAATAATGATATCAAGGTACTCATGTCGGTACACGAAAATAACATAGCAGTACGGGGGCAAGGGGTGTAGTCAGAGTCCGACTTCACTATCGCTTTCCGAGTTGATTTGCCTAAGCTTAATACAGAAACTAGTTCCCACGTTCGATGCCCCCTTACCGCGACCACCATGATCACCAGCTTGCAACGCTGACTGGACTTGGTTTATGCACGGACGCGTGATCTTAATTAGCCTTTGTCTATGCACCTCATCGTTCAGCGAAAAACACTCCTAAGGCGCGTCGGACGCGTGGATAGTATACTATTCTTGCTCTGCGCCGATGAATCATCGACGACGGGGAGCCCCGGCGTGACTTCTTCGACCTCTCGGACTTCCGTGAGGTGGGGCTTGAGGCTCGCCAATCTCTAAGGCGCTCGGAGCGAACTATGATACTTTGGGTTACAAATCCTCCTCTAGCTGACATGTCGACCTTCCGAAAAATCTGATCTTGGGCGCGCTAAGTAAGTCATCTTTCTGCCTTACGGATTCGATAGCTATCACGCCTTTCGCCTTTGACAGAGGACCCCCCAAGAACAGCACATATATTCACCGACTAAATCGTTTTCGATGCTCACACGCAGAAATGTCTCTTAACTCGTCCAAAACCAATTTCGTGCGCATTGTCTTTGTCGTCTCTTCTATCTCTCTGATAAATAGATAGGTCATTGGTGGATCTGGCTTTATCGGCTATACCATTGTCACCCAGCTATTGAACGCTGGATATCGCGTCAGAGCGTATGCACATTAGTCGAAACCGTTTTCTAGAGTATATCCTAACGTCTGCTAGTGCGGCTCGTGGCGCGAAGGCTGCGCTTCTCGCCAAAGCGTTCTCGGTGCATTATTCGAAGTCTTTAGTATTCCCGACATCGTCGGCGACGACCTTGCTCCATTCTTGAAAGGTTAGCGTTCTTCGACTGTGATTCGCTGCCATCTCACTTGCCCAGGTGTTTATGGTGTTATCCATTAGCGCCCATCCCAGGAAGGGCGAGTGCGGCGGCAATTTACAGGGTTGGTCCATATGTCGTACACTCTCACTATGTTTACAGATTGCAGAACAAGGAGGTTTACACATAGCTGGCCCAGAAGCTTTGAACGCCGCTGTCAAACGGTTGATTGTAACCAGGTCTGTCGTAACATGGCCGGCGACGGGGTCCTTTTATGGTATCGACAGTGAGCTCATTCATTTTCCAGCTTAGTACTGTACTCAAAAACACCGCAGACTGGAATCCCATCACGAAAGCCGACGCGGGAGACCATCCTCTAATGAGATTATGTCGTCGGAAAGAAGATTGAAGACGAAACATTCCTTGGATTTGCCAGGGCACACCCCCCGAAATCGACGTCTCCCTCAGTTAGCCTTGGGTCCCCGTTTCATATTCACGTACTTTGGTCTCATTGAATACAGTCGCACCCGGTACAATGTTCGGACCATTCCCACCTGGTTTTGAACACCTTGTCCCCGAACCGAATTACAACTCTTTCTCGACCAATGGATATATCTACCGCCCACACTGGACGATCCAAGCTCAGAACGGGGCCATTGACGTGCGAGACATTGCGCGCGTTCATCTTTTGGCGCTCGAGTCGCCGCCGTTGGCACCAAGAGGCTCCCCATCATCTCGCCCGACCAGTCCTTCGACAAGACTGCTATTGAAATCCTCGCGGCAGAGCGTGCGGATCTAAAAGACAGATTAGCCGATCCCGCGGATGCGCCTGTGTGGCCAACGTATACGTTGCCAGCCAAGCGCGAGGATATTGAAAAAGTGATTGGTTTCAAGGCGGATTCGTACACGTATCCGTCCTGGAGACGGTGGATAGTCTGATCTGGATGAAAGAGTTTTGGAAAGCCAAAGGCTTCAAGGTAGACGTACCAGATACCCCGCCACTATAAGCACTTTCTCGAAACGTTTATGAAGATCATTGAATGTTTATACTTTTGTTGATTCTATTACCGCAAAAGGTCGAAAGCTTGAGTGTGAGTCGTGTACCTCCTATATTTACACACGCGTTTTCTCATCAGGCGATCTTTTGGGGTGCACTTGTCGTGTAGGGTGATTGCGTGAAATTAGTGATCAAGACTAAGGTTCAACGTTTGAAAGTCTCGACGAAAGCTAGTTAATTCACCTTTGTTCGCGCACAGACACAGAGTCCCTCGACACGTTTTGAAAGGGGACAAAATGTAGGGCGGATGCTAGATCTGAGATATCACCGCCTAAAGCCGAACAATTCAGAACACTGCCACCTGGCACCGATCATTAGGGGCCTGGAATTTTCCAACAAGTAGGGACCTTGCAATGCCGGCAGCAGGGGCTGTCGCTAACACCCATCTTCGTTGAAGGGAACGACTTTCTAACGAACTTGGACACGCCCCAGCAGGCAATCTGGCGCTAGACTTGGTCATCCCCCCTCTCTGCTTTCCTTGACAGTGAGTTGTTTCCTACGATCTCCTTGTTCCTGTCAGATATTGAAAGAATGATGAACAGATTCTCTAGGAACTCGCGGAAAGAAGTCTGCTTCAACTCTGCCACACTCTTTATTACCACACTCATTTACTCTCCCTCCTTCGCACATCTGGCCGCCCACTTCTGGCGATGTTCACCCCTCCCGCATCCCCCCTCCCGCCTCTCGATAAAGAGACTCCACCTCAGGAGCCCGAAGTGTCCGTCGTTGAGAAACGGTCCGTCGCTCGCAGGACAAAATGGACCGTTCTTCTCGTGCCGCTCGCGCTAGTGCTCATAACGGCATCGACGCGCTACATTACGCATCCAGCGGCGTTCGACGTGCTATCCGAGGGCTTCGAGCTCAACTGGAAAACCCTGCGCACCACGGGCGCTGATTGGCAGCCACATAAACGTCATCCAGACAATTACCAGTCGACCAACATCGCAACGATATCTGGCAGCCTGACGGCGTCCGGGTTGGTGTTGTCTACGCAGTCCGCAACTGCGACGGCGTCCACCACGGCTGCTACTGCCCAAGCGGTCCCGACGATCCCAACCAACCCCGACCTCCCGGCTCCGTTCCCCCAGGCCTTTGATTCCGACATCACCCAAAACTACTCCTCCATGACCTGCTTCAACTTCTTCTCTAACATGACCAACACCGCCGCTTTCCGCTCGTGTCGCCCGTTTTCCGTGCTTCTCCAAACGTCCAACGCATTCGTCGCGGTATGTGTTTCTTTTATGAAAAATTCCCATACGAAGTCTGATGGGATGTGCTTATCAGACACAAGACAACCTTACGGAACTCAATGCGGCGGTGTGGGGGACGTGCAATCCACCGCTGGGGTACGACCAGTGCGCGAGCAATCTCGCCTGGTTCGCAGACGCCATCCAGACGGCGTGTGCGGTGGACATGGCGGATGGCAATGTCCTCGTTTCCTCCACCTTGACCGCGCTCAAGGCGTACAGCGTCATGTACGACGCCGCCTGCCAGGCCGACCCCACCACCAACACGTACTGCTACGTCAACGCCGTGCACAACTCTAATCCTTCGGATCAGTACTTTTACCAGCTCCCGCTAGACATATCCGTGCCCAACTCGTCGACGCCGTCGTGCTCGTCGTGCACGAAGAGCATCATGAATATCTTTGCGGAGGCGTATTCTCAGCTCGAGGCGCTGAAGAGTACGTACCCTTCAGCACAGTCGTTGGCGGATACGGCGTGTGGAGATGGTTATGCACCGACTGTGGCTGTCTCGACGGACGGTACGATGTCGCTTCGCGTTAGGACTCTATTACTAGCCCTCGTTGCATTACTTACAGTATGGACCCTTTACTGACACTGCACATTCTTTGTTTCCATTCTTTCGGGGCTCTGGTGGCGTATTTATGTTGTACTCACATTTTCAGTCGTATATTCATGGGAGAGAGCTGGTTTAGTGTTCTCTCCGTGTGCTCGCTTCTTTTCTATAACATTATGCTTGATACACCTATCCTATGGAACTTTGGCTGACGTGTAGAACTTTGAAGACATGTTCCGAATCAAGTGCAGACGCTGCATGGAAGGATGCCCTCAATTCGAACTTTTGTCTAGTGATCATTGTACCAAGGCTTCTCTCCATTCATGTTCCCAAAAACCGTACTGCGCCTTCTTTGCATTGATAGTACTCGGAGATCACAGTTTGGTTCTACCTGCTCACTCTTTTTCGACCTCTTTCCAACACCGTCCCCGCGCGAGATGGACTTTGAGGAGGCAATGCAAAATAGAACTTATTGGTTACGGAAGAACTCTCTGACTGGGAGTCGAACCCAGCTTTCGCGCGTCTCCTCATTCTATGACAGGCGCGTGTACTAACCGATATACTATCAGAGATGTGGTAGTTGGACATCTTTTTAAATATAAACAGTCGCTATAGTATCTCTACATCGCTCAAGTAAAGCTTTGGCCCTATGTGAGGCTCACTTCGGAGTTTGAAAGTGCACTAAGGTTAGGGTTACCGCTGGTTACCACACACGCTAAATCGTCCAGTGTTCACTCATGCCACTTTCACCAGTTTAATCTACGTATAATGGAGAGATCAATGTGGCGCAGCGCCTCAACAGTGCAGTGCGGGCAGTTGTTGCAGCGCATCCGGCCATTCGGAGGATTGTTATCGAGTTGCAGGTGATCTACAGTAAAGATTCAAGGAATGACGAACCATAGACAGACCTCAGATATGCATTTTTGACTACAGGCAGTAAATTCGAGGTACAGGATGGATCAGTAGTGCAAAAGCTGCGAGCTTGTATCCATCTGGTTCCGGTCCGACGGCACACTCTGGGGTTAGGGCTCGGCATCTGCAATTTTCGAAGTCCGAAGTGAGCCTGTTAAGGATTGACGAGGTGGCGTACACGCCAGTATATGCCGGTCAATCACAGTATTTCATTCTTTCGTGTTACCAATCGTTGCCCTCAGTCGTTTGTTGTCTTCCACAACGTCTGAGGGTACGTTCTCTTATATCTTATATATTTCTTATGCTTATCGTGCCTGTAGTCTACACCGTGTACTAACGTACTATCTCTGCTTCTACAGGTACATAATAGAGTCGTTTGTTGTCTTCCACAACGTCTGAGGTCTACACCGTGTACTAATGTACTATCTCTGCTTCTACAGAGCCTATGAGGTACCCCCTACATAGGTTCCAGACTCTACTAAGAGACGATTGTGAGTATCCCATCTTCTCTCGGTTGAGTCGGTTTACGAGACTAGCGACTGCATATATTTTTGATTGCCGTAATTCTTCCTGAGGTATCTTTTCATGCAGAGTCTAACAAAGCTAATACTGTACATTACGCGTGTACATATACATGTATGCAGTAGAGGGCCGTACACTCCAAAATAAAGTCCGTGCAACGTTCTGTGTTCAAGCAGAAGGATCCGAATCCTGTACGTCCTCCTCCGACTCGATTGACAAGCACCAAAAAACCCTTCCCCACGGCTGGTCACCGGTGCCACGCTCGCAGCAGACAAATCTCACGGGCTGTCCATCCCAATAGCGCATCAGATCAAAAGAGAGCCCACCCGGCAATCGCAGCGCCAGCGAGGGGTGAAATTCCAGGAAGCCGTAGCAGAAATCTGTTGTAATGATATCCTAAAAGACGTCAGTATAATGGTGAGATTACATAGAAGAAGACGCATACATCCGGCCCAAAGGTAATAGTGCGTCTGTTCGGCTCGGACGCAAAGTAGGCGCGTCGCTTAGAGGCCGTAGTGAGGGTAGAGACGTCTGCGTTAGGTTTCTTCTTCTTCTTCTTGAGAGACATTCTGGAAGATGAAGAGCTGTTGGACAGGGAGGAGGAGGAAGACACGGGGGAGGCAGACGCGACAGCGAGATAGAGGCTGGACGTGTCATCCACAAGTGGCGTGGGTGGCGGAAACTGCAAAGGCTCCTCTTGCGTGTGAGAAAAGTGTGGCATAGTGGCCACGAGGGGAGACAGCGCCCACGGCTTCGTAGACGAAGTCAGGTCATGTTCTAAAGTAGGATCAACGTAACTAATTCGTTGTCAGCACTAGCGCTCTTTAAGACATAAGAAACATACCTCATAAACTTGAGCGCAGCACCAGAGCCCCAAGGCAATCCCAGCGGGCGGTCAAACGTATTGCCAAAGAGGATATCATTCGAAGAATAAGACTTCAAGAACCGGCCTAACAAGGTATTGGTATGCGGCGCGCACGGGTAACTGCCATGACGCGAGACGTACCTTGAACCTGGATACTCCAAGTAATTCCCTGTCTCTCCGGGCGAACAAAGTACTCGCAGTCGTCCGAGCCTTCAAAGCCTTTAATGTTGACGACTATCGACCCCTCAAAAGCATCGGATCTGATTTGGAAAGGCCTGTTCTTGTTGACATATGCGGATATCGGTTCCAGCGATTCCACAGACGGACCAGCGAGCACGCGCAGACCAGGCATGGAGGAAAGAGGCAGGTTCCCGTCAAGGGAATGAAGAGGGAAATGGCAACCAATTTAAGGGCGTGGATGCTGTTAATGGTTACGTCTGTGATTGTGGGGAAATCGGGGTTGTCAGCCTGTCAGGTGACTGACGCGCTATTTACATTCTGCTCGCGAGACCGCGACCGCAGTAATTCTAATAGGGATTTTCGAGAACAGGTTTAGCCTGAGCACCTTTGATATATTTATCCTGGGAAACGACTTCTGCTTGAGTGCTAGTGCCATCGCGAACCCCACTTTGTTTCTATCTTCGCTGATATCGCGTTATGAACCTGGGAGCAGTAGATGCTACGTGCGTCATTTAGTTGGTGCGAGAGAACCAGCAGCTGCGAGTCGATGCAATCTTAGTAGATAATCGTACGATTGAAATATCTGGACTGGCACGGGACGGCGGACATCCAGATATCGATGCTTCTTCTCTTTCACACGCAGACTTGGAACAACTACGCAACGTGTAAACAAGAGGATATCACTCGAATAGCTACGACAGAGATCTGTAAACTTGAAAGCAACTCGACTCTGTAGGCTTGAGACAGGGCGGCTGGTACCTTCTGTCCTTGCTTGACACTTGTCTTTTATAAAATGAAGTTCGTCTTAGCTAAATAGATACACAAGTACAGATAATCTACTTCTTCACCGTCCATATAGAAGCCTGCAGTACCTCTTAGTCTCTCCAAGACAGTCTAAGAACAACAAATTTCCCTTCAGCACGACTACTACTCATCAACCGACCCAGAACTGCACTTCTCGTTCGACTCGCCGCGTAACATGGCGAGAAAAGAATGAATACCGGAAGCTTTCCCGTGCACCGAGACTCTAACCCCACTCACATCATCGATGTCCCTCTTTAACGTCGGGAAACCCTTATGTGGACACCCAGTGCAATAAAGATATGCGCGATGCAGTGTCGGTCGACGCATCCTGCACATCGCAAAAAAGTTTGCGTCTGCGAATGTAAAGGCAGGCTCGCCTGGGGCGAAGCTCGCGAATACAAATCGTCCCAAGTTGGGCAGAAGTTCGGTGTTCGACAGGCTCTCGACCAGTACTGCTATGCCCTCGTGTATTGCCCGAAGCTCATCCTGAGAGAACATAAAGGCATGGCAGCCATAATATACCTCCAGTTTTAAGAGCCCCGGCGTCAAAGTGAAGATTTTGGAGAGGCTGGCCTGTCGAGAGCGGAGGTTAGCGCCGTCCAAAATCAGCTTTGTCAGCGGACATCGGGAGCGCTTGAGGAAGGCAAGCAAGGTGGGAAGGTGCGCGGGGGAAATGAGAGTGGGCTTTGATCTAAACTCCCAGACGATTGCGTTCGCTGTCAAACGTAAGGACAGGTCGGAGAGCGATGGGAGACACAAATGGTCCAGAAGGCGCACGTCGGATGTCCAGAACCGTGTGATGCGATCCCGACGTATGAGGTCTGTGACATCAACAAGTAGAGGAGCCTCCCACTCGAACTCAGTGAAGGGTGCACCCGGATCGAGACTCACATCCTCGGCATTTGGGCATAGAGAAAGAACATCGAGGGGATCATATTCCAATCGCCACATGTCTTCGTATTCAGCTACGCAATAGCTCAACTTGACAACCTTGGAAAGGATGCCACGATGTACACCAATAGGCCTCCCAATCAGGCGCAGCTCGACAAGATTAGGCGCTTTGCGTAACGCAAGAGGGGGTGCTGTCCCTGGGAATTCGAGACAGTCATTTGGCCGGTAGGTGAGGAGCCTCAGCCGTGGCACGCGACTCCCGATGTCCCTGAGCAGAGAGGTATCGTCGGGACACAGGTCAAGAAGCGCTTCGCGCCACCGATTGCAGTGCTCCACAAGCACACGGAAGAACATGGATGCATTTTCGCTGCGATCGATGAATTTGATGTACAAGTCGCGCTGCCCGCTATAAGCAAGTGCTGCTGTCAAGAGCGCGACGGGATCTCTTAACTGCAATGCGTGTTTCCAGCGCTTGCTTGTGATATCTATACTGCCCACCATCATAGCTGCCCATAGCTCGGTGCAACCTAGCGCCGCAGACCGCCAAAGTCGGGAGACATGGATGAGTGGCCACGGTCCGGCATTGGCGTTGAAGACGTCGTAGCCTAATTTGGAGCCCAAGTCACGAACCAGTTTGAGGAAGATTACTTGCAGAACCTCGGCTGGGAGACGACGAGCGGCGGAGCGAACAGATTGGCAGAGACGTTGATGTGCAGTGACAGCGACACTTCTCCTTTGCATTCTTCGGTTATCAGCATCTGGTAGATCCGCCAGAGCTGCGCGTACTGACTCCTTCCAAGCAAGCACGATGTTGAGCTGATGCTGCGTGGGGATGTCATTCGAATTTGCGAGGGGTTGAACGGCCTCTGGAACGCTTCGAGCTAATTCCTGGATCTCGCTGGTTTCGGCTGGGTCGATGGACATGGTACTCTTGAAGTAAGTGGTGTGCAAGTTCCTATGACAAACAAGTTCAACAAACAAAACTAAACACACGAAATCATGGTCACTCACTGGATGGTTGTGGTCGAGTACAGAGATGATGAATGCCATGTGGCTGTCTTTGTTCGAGTTTTATACAAACCAGGCGTCCATTGTTGTCCATTTCAGGAAACCTTGAACAATGGGCGCACGTGTTCAAACTGAGTCAATGAGAAATTTCATAATCAAGTCGGACGGGATTATGGACAACAGAAATACGCAGTATGAGGAAATGTGAGCTGGTCGGGGACAAGTTATGTCGGCAACTGCCGGCGACCAGAGCCGGCAGCAGTCGATCGCAACTTGTTGCTCGCAGCTCCAAGCATTCCCTTCGCTAAATGAAATGTCGAAATGGCAAAGACAAGGGAGAATTTATGTACAACATAAGTAAGTAAGACCCACCAAACGGGCTCCTTTCTA